GGGAAAGACGGGCTGGGGGATGTCCCGGATCCAGATGCTCCAGGCTTGGATCTGCTGTTAGATGGCTTTGTCAAACCTGTCTGGGGAAGTGGAATGGCTTGCATGCATCTATCAGACTCATATTCTGTAAATGTTTTGTGGCTTGGTTCAGTGACAACATTGTGTCAATAGAGGTGCCTTGACGTTTCCATTTTCTTAAAATGGTGTAATGGTGATGTGGCGTTCAAATTAATTGAACTCTAACACATGAAATCACATCACCTGACCAATAGTAAGCTGCCTTCATTGATGGTACATTTGCTTCCTCTTTACATATGCACACGAAAAATTCTATATAAACTTTCACCTTAGTAAAGCACAAATTTCTCCGACTGAAAAATTGTCTCAACACATTTTTATTTAAAAAAAGAAGATGCATATGTTATAATGTTATAATTATGTCATAAATAACAAGAGCACACCAGTTATCAATACAACTCTGTCTTCTGCCTTCAGGTGATCCTCGTAGCCACTGCCCCCTTCACTAACCTGACTGTCGCAGTGCAGTTGGACCCTTCCTTGCCAAAAAAGCTTAAGGCGCTCTACATCATGGGGGAGAAACACTGAATGTAGGCTTTTATTTATTCTGTTGTATCTTTTCAGTGATTTATGTGTTTATGTATCTATTTTAATAATAACAAGAACTGTAAAATGTTTGTGTGCAGCCAGAGGTAACACCTGCCCAATCTACATCTCCACCTGGGAGTTCACCTGCAGGAACAGCCTGTCATGGGTGAGGAGAGAAACAAACTGAACAGAACTTAAGCATACTTCCCGTATGCTTAAGTTCTGTTACAATCAACAATTATACCGTTTTAAAGGTTTGATACTGACAGAAATGACATTTAAAATAATATTTGAATGGATGCAATGACAGTATTTCTGACTGGGTAAGCAGAATGTTGCACAGGCAGACTGCATGGCTAGATGCTTGTTCTTATACAGCCATGGAAAATAGTGGCCCATGGTGGCGGTGGGGTTATGGACAATGAACATGAGTGCATTTTATTGTTGGCATTTTGAATGCACAGAGATACCGTGTCGAGATCCTTGAGACCATTGTTGTGCCATTTATCCATGACCATAACCTCACGTTACAGCATGATAATGCATGGCCCCATAATGCAAGAATATGCACACAATTCCGTGGAAGCTGAAAACATCCCATACTTGCATGGCCAGCATACTCACCAGACATGTCACCCATTGAGCATGTTTGGGACGCTCGGCGTATATGACAGCGTGTTCCAGTTCCTCCCAATATTCAGCAACTTTGCACAAGTATTGAAGAGGAGTGGACCTACGTTCCACAGCACACAATCAACAACCTGATCAACTCTATGCCCATTGCACACCATTTACCTCACAAGGTGCAACACATCTCCATTAGATGTGTTGCACCGTGTGAGGCAAATGATGGTCACACCAGATACTGACTGGTTTTGCAACATCTGCAGCATTGTGCTGTGTGATCAAACTGCATATTTCAGAGTGGCCTTTTATTGTGGGCAGTCTAAGGCAGCAGTCCCCAACCTTTTTTACGCCACGGACCGGTTTATGCCACATACATTATTTTCACGGACCGGCCTTTAAGGTGTCACGGATAAATACAACAAAATAAAACTAGTACTGGTACC